AGAAAATAGGCTGCTGTTAAACTGTTTTGTGTGTTTTCCATGCATAATTTACTCCGCTGTATTTTTAATTCTTTCTGAGATCAAACAATCCCCTGGAAAAGTGTTAACTTCCTGGAGAGGTAGCACAAACACTGTTAGGTTTTGTTAATTTTTCATCTCATGGATTTAGTAAACTGTTTGACTGTTAGAATCTGTAAGAAATAACATTAAGGCCATTTCCTATTTTGGTTCTAAAATTGTGACTCTTGTTCTGACTTCCATTTAGTCTGATGCGATTGGAAGAACAGTGCCAGATTGATTAATTTTGTTTTTAAGTGTTGTGAAGACAATTGAGCCATGAGAAGAAGTTGACATTTTGAACTGGCAAACAGCTTGGGCACTTAGGCACAATTCCAGGTAAATAAGTTAAGTATAGGTGTGTATATGTAAGTCTGATTATTAAAGGTATACATCTAAGATCCCATATGATCAGTGCTAGGCAGCAGCTGATGTGCAGGATGGCAGGGGAAGAAAAACTGGATCGCAGAAAGACACTCTTACTTAGGACTTGAAATCTGGCAGCTTTCCTAGGGGAATAAAATACCGTTGGATTGCATTTATTTGTGGACATTTTTTTCTTGCCTTCTGCATTGCCCTTTAAGCACAGAAACCATGATTTGTTCATCTTTGTACTCCCCAAACAGTAGGCATGATTGTCGATACTAAGAGATAGCCACTCTTTCATTACCCATTTGTTTATTCAGGGCCACAGGTGATGTTTGGGAAATAGTAAAAGCAGCAGCAGTCCAGCAGAGAGGGCATTGCTGTGATTCTCTCTGGCTTCCTCTACTAGGGAGTCTGCAGTTTTTCACTTCGTTTTAAAGACAAATGGTCTGCATAGGGGAAGCACATGATGAGCTGTGTCTTTGTTCAGTTGGCTAATCAGGTCAGAGCTGTTGGTCCATCTGTGAATACACCAGTTCGTGTTTCACCACTCCTAGCCACAGATTTGCACCTTGAACCTTTGCCAGCCATTTCCTAAGTGCATGCCTTTGCATGTGAGGGAGACCAACAAAAGAGTGCACATAGATCAGCTTAAAATCATCACAACTCTTCAAAACAAAACAAAACAAAACAGCTTAAAGCATGAGTCCCAGAGTGGCGGACCAGGAGCTTTATCTTTGTGTATCAAAGGTCAGCACGGTGGTGCCATATGTGTTGCTATCACTATAAACACTGCACTAATAGGGACAAACTTAAGAAGCTGTGACAAATGAGTATTGGAACTTTTGTTATTTTTACTTAAAAAAATTAAATTTCTTAGGGTGTTAGTATAACCAGCCCTAGAAAATATTGGGTGGAGGTGGGTGGTCAAATTGATTCAGAAATGGCCCAGAGCTCTACAAGATCAGCATGATTTATGTTTTCATAGATGACACAATTACAGAACGTTACTGGTTGTATAACTTGGGGACTTTGTTCTTTGAAGACTTGTGGTACTTAAATGAGGTTTCACTAACAATCAGTAATAATGCCGCTTCGCTTCGCATTTCCACTGTTACTTAACATTCACCTGTAATTATTTACATCATTTCAAGTGAGTCTCAGAACAATCTTGTAAGTTGGACATTACTTTTCAGATTTACCACTTGATCATCCAGCAACCTCTTCTTGTCTGAACATCAGTGTGACTTAAGGAACTCCAGGAACAACAGTTGACTAAGAAGTATATAATGTCCCATACTGACAAAATTATTTCTTTTAGAAGTTGCTGCATTCTCTTAGAAAACAGAATGAACATTTAGGTGAAACAGCATTCATCAAGGTAAAAGAAAATTACCGAAACAGATTGCTCCCTTCTAGAGCATCTGAGGAAAAAGGTGGAAAGACTTCCTTTGGCATCTCTGGATATTTGAATAGACAGCAAGGAAGAACTGTAGCTTTCTTCTTCTTTCTTTCTTTTTTTTTTTTTCTCAGCTAAATTATCCTAAGAACACTCTTCTCCAACATAGGAATTCCAGTGGAATAAGAGATGGTAACACAAGATGCACCAGGAGACTCGAGGTTTTGTGTGTTTGAAACTTATATTCTACTATAATGACTAAATTGTAGAGAAGCAAAACTAATGTGTGTGTGTTTTTTTAAATTTATCCAATGTTTTTCTGGTTCTGTCTTCTAGGAGCAGACAAACTTCTTTTGTGTTTTGTTTGTTTGCTTGTTTGTTTTTAAAAGTTCACTCTTAAACTTTATAAAACAATATAAGACAAGGAAAATTAAAGTTACACTACATTGGAACAATGTATTTCCTCAAAACAGAAATGCCAAAGGCATATAAAGATATAAAATGGTATGCAGTGTTTTCCCCCCACATTATTTATTTAAATTGGTAAGACTTTTTTGTCTTTCAACATTTAATTTCACTATAAACAAAAGTGAAGTAAATACAATGATTGTTATCAACTGAATACTAGATGAGGTCTCAGTATTTAAAAGAACATAGATCTCTTCTTATAAACTTGCTTTTGATTTTAATTCAAGAATAATTATGCTGGGTTCTTATGTCTGACTGGACAAAAAAACATGTGGTTGTGTGTTTTGGCATATGTTCTTCCAGATTTTTCAGTGATAGTTATGATAACCAACAAAGGAAATTTGGATTGAAAGGCTTTTCTGTAAGAGATTCTAATCATCACCCTAAGAATAATTCCAACACCTATTAGTTACTTTTACTTGGAGACCAATGTATATATGCATGCCAGTGACTCTAAGAGTTGGACAACAGGGACATGGAATTCTGAAGAATAAAGTTTTGGAATAGATACCTGCACAGTACCAGCCCCACTGCTGTTACTAGAAGAAGATTTGGGTAAGTAAAAATGAAATTAGTAAAAATACAGTGTTTTTACATTTGTTTCATGTTTATAACTTTCCCCTGAGAACAGAATTTAAATTGTAAACCATAGCTTTAATGTATATTATTACCATAAACGAAAATAATGTATGTACATGCGCACACACATCACGGCATGTGTGCATGCACACACACACGTAGAAAAGTCTAGATTTTTAGTATCTAACAGAGATGTGGGTGTTGTGCAATCAACAAAACACTGTTGTGCAATAATTAAGGAATTTTTAAACTGAAGATTAAATTGGAATGTTGTTATAAACATAAGGGAAATGGACAACATTTTTCCTTGTATCAAAAGAAAACTCATTTCTAAAAATAAGCACCCTCTTTGTGATGACCCTTTAAAATAGTTTTAAGTAATTCCATTCACAGATGAGCTTTAGGTCCACAGCACTTTGCTGTAAGTGGCTTGCTCTTTGATCTTGCAGCCTTTAATCAGGTGTGTATCCAGAAGAAAGCATTGACTTGGCAATATCACCAGCCAGACTCTGCATCTCTGAAAGCGAATTGAACATGGCATGACTAAAACATGCTGCTGGGTCCTGAAAGGTTTTCTTTGGTGTATGAATCTAAGGAAACATTGATTTGCTAAAGCTATTTCCCATTACTAAACTTTATCTTATCAAGTGGAGGCAAACACGGACCTTCCTAAAGTTACCAAAGTAAAAAACTTGATTTTTTAAAAAAGGAAAATGTTTTTGTTTTCTCCCATGTTTCACTTTACTTTCCCAGAAATGACAATGGAGTAAAAGGGTTGAGAATGTTACCTTGTCTTTTAAGTGTTGTTATTGACCATCAGCGGTCAATTCCTTTGTAATGTGAAATTGATTTGGTGTAATCTAAATGACCCTTGTTTTTCTTGTGTGTGTTTTACTTAGAGTGTCTTGGATAGTGCTTTCACAACTGCAAAAAACAAAGGGGTATCCTTCTACTCGTTTTATTCCACTTCTCACTCCACTCAAATACGTATTTCTTATCACTACTGATTCTGTCCTTTAGACACAAGACCATCTTTTTCTTCCCTTTAGCTTCCACTATCTAATCAGTGTCTCCCCCTAATAATTAATAACTTAGTGGTTAAGAACTAGGCTTGAATTTTGTGCTCTTGGGCAAGTTACCTAACCTCTGTAAAGACTGTTTTCAATACCTGTTTTGTAGGTTAATAGGACTAAATGAAACAGTTCACATGAAGCAGTTAGCATAGGGCCTGCACTCAATACATATTAGCTACCACTCTTCCCCTCCTCACCCTTCCCTTCTTGTCCTCCCAGGACTCCTCTCCCCACCCTCCTCTTTCTTCCTTCTCCTCCGGCCCTTCTTTCTTTCCCTCCTCTTTGAGTGAGTGCTTGACACAAGGTAAAAAATAAAATGGTCCTTTTCAAACTGCCTCCTCCTCTGCAGGAATCAGACAATCACCATTTCCCCCTGGAATACTGAATTTGTTAATTGGTCTTCCACATCTTATTTATTTCTGTTTTTCACATTAAAAATAGTTATAAAAAACAGTTAAAATTCAAATACCTATCGACTTGAATTTATAACAGTTTTTTAAAACTATTTTTTGTTGATTTTTAGAGAGAGGAAGGGAGAGAAACATCTATGTTAGAGCAGAACATTGGCCACCTCCCGCAGGCCCTGCACCCAGGATTGAGCCCACAAGCCGGGCAGTGCCTGGACCAGGAACCGGTGACATTTTGGTGCATGGGACAACACCAACCAACTGAGCCACACTGGCCAGGGTGGTTTTTAAATCAAATCATACATTTGGTATTGGGAAATATATGGAAAAAATCACTGTTAATAACTATTATGCTTTTGTTTTCTGATCATATTCTGTCTTCATATAGACTTATTTTGAAGATTTTTAAATGACTTTGAGAACATATATAAACTGTTTTACTTAAAAAGAGTTTATCATGTGCTAGATATTATAATTTAAGTGCTATACATACATTATCCTATTTAATTCTCAGTAACCTATGCAATAAGTCCTATTATTACCACCCATTTTACAGAGAAGGAAACAAACAGTTATGCTTAAATAGTTATAAATAGTAGAGAAGGATTTGAACCCAGATGGTCTAATTCCAGAGCCTTTGCTTCTAAACACTAGTCTATACTGCCCAGCCCCCACCTCACCTTCCCACCCCCACTTCCAGGAATAATTAAATAATGTAGTAATCCTGAGTACTTGAGTTAAAATGAAAAATTCCTGAAAATTCAATTTATAAAAGGAAAAAACAAATTCCTTTCAAATAAATACTACTGAAAAATAAATCTGAAAACAAATCTTACCATTGACTTCATCTTTTTTCATGGCTGGTCAGTAAAGTTTCCTCATTTGTGAATTATCTGAAAAAGGAAATGTGTCTGAAGGGTGGCACCTGAGTTGAAGAGACAAAATCATGAGAAATAGTTAAAGAATCTGGAGATACTTAGCCTTGAGAAGACTGGCGTGGAATGAAAACTTTTCAAAGATTTGAAGAGCTTGCATGGAAAGGGAGGATTAGATATACTCTATGTGGCCCAAAAAGATAGAATTAGAACCATTTGTTGAAAGCAATTAGACAAGAGCTTTCTAACAGTTAGAACTGGAAAGACCTTTACCAATCAGTTTAATCAGTTTAACTGTTTCTACTTGTCTAGCTCAGAGATCTCACACTTTCAGGGAATGGGAAGGTAGCTCAGTTTTCGCAAGAACATCAGAGATCTTCAAGTGCTCACGTTGCCTCTGAGATGGAGGCTATCATGTGAAAAGGATGCTTTTTTTAAAAAAAAATAAAAAGTCAGATTATAAATCCAATACATAAAAAAATTAAGATTCCATAAAACCAGAAACCTGCCCCTAATCCCACCATTCAGGGACAATAATTTGGGGTATTAAAAACATGTATCTTTTATGATTATAAAAATAATATTGTAGAAAATTTAAATACAGAAAAGCATAAAGGAAAATATATACTAAAGGACAAAAGTAAAAACTTCCGTAATCCCCTACATATTCACCACTTACATTTTGATGATTTTTTCTTGAGTCCTTTATTATACTATTTTTATATATAATTTAATTTATAATTTTTAATGACATTTATACTTTACAAAGTTTTATAGGCCATTTTTCCCACATAGTATTATATTATGGACATTACCTTATCATTTTAATATTTCAAGTATGTAATTTTTAAGGGAGACATTACTCTGTTATGAATGTATTATGATATAGTTAACCAATTTCCTATTCCCACATAATTATGCAGTAGTTTTTTAGTATAGGTAACACTGCAGTGAACATCTATATATTAGTAATTACCCAAATGTTAATTGTGTTCTGAAGTTAGATTTTAGAAGTGGAATTATTAATTCTGATATGTCTGGCCAAATTGATCTCTGAAAACCATATATTAACCTTCTCACTGTCAGAAACTTTAATTTTTTTTCCTTTTTTTATGAGCAAATGCACATTTTATTAGTATTTTTGGAGATTTACAGTTTCACAAGAAACACTGATTTTTCTCAAACAATAGAAAAAGGTTTAAAAAATAAGAGTATTATCTTAGGAGAATAAAACAAGTTTCTTCAGCAAGCATTGGGCCAATTCAAATTGGAGGAACCAGTGAAGCAGAACTTACATATAGGAAGTTCAGATTTATCCACTTTTAGGAATAACACAAATGCCTTCTTGTCTAGTTCTGTCAGGCTCCACATGGGCCACCTCAGCTTAAATTTGAAACTTTAATTTTCAATAGTTTAGTAAATCTTAGTTGATAGATTATGCAGGCAATTTTTATTTAATTTGTACTTAAATAAAATTGATATTCTATGTTGATTTTATATGTCTCATGACCAATTATAATTTCTTAACATACCTATTCATATTTTTCTCCATTTTCAGCTGTTTTTTAAGAATTTACTCATAGAAATCTCTACATATCAAGACATTAAACCTTTATGTTTTATTGCCTTTAAATGTATTTATGTATTTTAACATTTAGAAGTTTTAATTTGTATATAATCATACTTATCATATTTTGTGATTTCTTCCATTGCTATTTTTTTAAGTCCTTTCCTTCAGTCCCTTTTCAGTTAGACACTGTATGTCAACCACAGTTCAATTAGAGAAGCAGAACCACTAGGAGGTACACACACACACACACACATTTGAACCTATGCAATTGGGGGGGGGGGGGCAGCTTAAGCAATTGTCTGCAAGGCTGCATTATTTGCATCTGATGCTGGAGCTTGAAGTCCAGTAGGCAAGCAGTTGGGAGGTAAAGTGGGAAAAGTAAGGATAAGGTGCAACCTCAGTCTCGAACTGGACTCCCCAGGGATGGAGTGGTGTGGTGTGGCTGTCTGCCTTTGGTCATGAGATCAAAGACACACCTGACCCAAGAGTCAGAGCAACTGAAGGAAGACCCAGGGAAGGCAGAGCACTGCAGGCCTGGACACCACATCACACCATCAGGTGAAACTGCAGGTCGGTGAGGTGTGTCCAAGCTGCGAAAGGGCTGCTGCTTCACCTTCGCTCTTCCAATCTCCCATAAGAATCTCTCTTGTCCATTCTTATGAGAAAAAGAAAGAAAACTTGAGACATCACAAAGCCACCCCCACCTACATTTTTCTAGTTTTATTAAGTTAACTCGGGAAGAAATTATTTCTTTGCAAAATTTGCCTATTCAGGAACACGATATGTTTCTACAATTAAATCTGATTTAAGGAAAGGTGCTATAATTTTGTCAAATGAGCCCTACAAAATTCTATTAGAATTATTTTATGTTTCTTGTTTCTAAAGTAAATGGAATCATTCCTCCCAATTTTTTTAGTTGATTGGGAAAAAGGCTATTTTAGCATATTTATCTTTTATTCTGCTGCTTTGCTAAAAACCTATTAATTTTATAACTTTGTAAAGTTGATTTTCACTAGTTTTCTAAGTATGTAATTGTATTATCTACAACAATAGCATTTAATACTTTCTAACTCTATTTTCACTTCATCTCATTGTTCTGGAATTCCTGATGGATGCACTGTTAACCAACAGTGATGAGAGTGGGCATCTTCTCCGTTTCCTGATTTTACTATATATAGTTTTAATTTTCAACAGCTATTTCCATTTTTGTTTATTGATTTCCAAAATCAGGAATCTGTATGGAATGCCATTTGACATCTAATAACATCAATAGCCCTCCATCTCCCTCAGCTACAATTCCCACTGGGTTTTACAGCCAAAAGTTATGGGCCTTCTCTTTCTGGTACTGGAACCCTGGGCTCGTGTCCTGGTGTGGGTCTGGGACCCCTCGCTCCTCAAGGGGGACTTCCACAGCAGAGATATCCCTCCCATTTTTTTTAAAAAATATATATTTTTATTGATTTCAGAGAGAGAGAGAGAGAGAAACATCAATGATGAGAGAGAATCATTGATTGGCTACCTCCTGCAACCACTGGGGATCAAGCCCACAACCCGGGCATGTGCCCAGACCAGAATCAAACCTGGGACCTTTCAGTTTGCAGGCCAACGCTCTATCCACTGAGCCAAACCGGCTAGGGCTCCCTCCCAATTTTTTTAATTATTTTTTTTATTAATCCTCACCCAAGGATATTTTTTCCATTGATCTTTAGAGAGAGTAGAAGTGAGTGGGAGAGACAGAGAAAGAAACATTGATGTGAGAGAGACACATTGATTGGTTGCCTCCCACAGGTGCCCTGACTGGGGCCAGGGATTGAGCCTGCAATCAAGGTACAATGCCCTTGACTGGAATCAAACCCGGGACCCTTCAGTCTGCAGGTCCATACTCTAACCACTGAGCAAAACCAGCTATGGCCCCCTCCCAATTTTTAACCACCACACATGGGTATGGGACCAGCTAGGTCCGCATCTCCACCTTTCCTACAGTCTCTCTTTTTTTTTTTTCCCTTCCTACCAGTCTTGATGTGGCTTCTTCTTTTTGTTCTCTTAGTTGTAGGACTTCTGTTCAGTTACATTCCAGGCAGTTCTGAATGATGGTTGTTCTGTAGTTTAGCTATAATTTTGATGCAGTTGTGGGATTTTTCAAGAAGTGCATTTACCTGCGCCACCATCTTGACCGGAACCCCCCCACATTCACTGCTTTTGGTTTTATGCTGCCAAGAGTCTAGCTTATACTCAGCTTTCTTCTTTCACTTATCCTATATAATAAAAGCCTAATATGCAAGTTGTCCCTTCGACTGGGAGTTCAAGCAGTGGGTGGGGCAGGCTGGCCAACCTCCCATGGCCCCTCCCCCCAGCCAGCCCCGCCCCAGTCAGCAGCCTCTAGGGCTGCGGTTCTCAACCTGTGGGTCGCAACCCCTTTGGAGGTCGAACGACTCTTTCACAGGGGTCGCCTAAGACCATCAGATAACACATATATAATTACATATTGTTTTTGTGATTAATCACTATGCTTTAATTATGTTCAATTTGTAACTGAAAATACATCCTACATATCAGATATTTACATTATGATTCATAATAGTAGCAAAATTACAGTTATGAAGTAGCAACAAAAATAATTTTATGGTTGGGGGTCACCACAACACGAGGAACTGTATTAAAGGTTCGTGGCATTAGGAAGGTTGAGAACCACTGCTCTAGGGACTCTACCCATGCATGAGTTTTGTGCATTGGGCCTCTAGTACTCTTATAAGCATATAAGTAATGGTACTTTTAGAAACTCCATCTTCTTACTTAATAGTGCTTGCATACACCACCTTAGGATAGTGCCATTACTTTAAAAGCAGAGGCATTGATTGCTTTTATCTCTCAACTGCTATGCATATAGTGTTGGTCAGTTAGTACTTGCTCTAATGAATGTTTGATTTCATACTGATAGCTTTGATTCAAACTCATTTTAGGTAGGTGACATAATATATCATCTAAACTCAAATATATGATTACCCTAACTTTATGTAGTGTTTTAGAGAAAGGGTTTTCCAAGGAGGCATACAGGTTCTTTGGGGATATTGATAAGAGTAGAAAAATAAATCTGATTTTAGAGGACTTCAATGTAAATTTGAATTTGTAGGAAAAAATTTTATTAAAGTAAAAAATGAAAGTTGAATAAATATTTATTAGGACCACTTTTATTTTACCATCTTTATTTTATTAAGTCAGATTTTGACAATTACAGCCATAGCATAAAACGCAGATTAATCCTTTTGAGTCCAGTTCAGTGGCAGAATTGCTTTAAAAATTATGAAAACAGCAATAATTGGTCCTAGACTTACTGAAATAACTTAGTCATCAATTTTGGAACCTCCAGAAAGAAGATGGGCATTGGGCATTTTCCAACTCATTTCTCTTGGCATTTACCATACGGGGGGCAAAAAAGCATCTGAATTTTAATAGCTTTAGAGTGTTGAGTCATTTCTTGAGCCAAATTTTGCTTTTCTCAAGTCAGCATATGAGTATATGAATCAATTTTAAAGACATCTGGAAAACATTTAATATCATCGGAAATTCCCATAATTTTATTTTAAATTCAGAATCACATGAACCATAGTAACTTCTTTTGACTAAGAAAATTAATAAGATATTTAATATATTCTCTTGAAAATATCAATAACCATTTGAAATATAAACAGATTTACAAAGATGGGTTTGGGGAAGATGAAACCCACCATTTACTCATTTGAAGTGGTTACTGAGTTTCCCAGGTAAATTTTGTTCTAATGATTAAGTGACTTTTTAAGGTAACAGTAAAATGATGCCATAGGTTATAAGACAGGTTAGAGTGAGGCAAATCATGAGCTCTATTTAAACATAAATCGATTTGGGATTTGCTGCCTCTTACTGAGTATCTTCTATGATATAGATTGGGATTTCTTCAAAACATCTACAGCTATTAATAATATCAGAATAATTGGGGATTCTTGTTTAAAATCCATCCAGTTTGAATACATCATTCTAACTGGTCAGTCTTTAGCAAGACTGACCAAAACAAAGAAAAGAGAAAACCCAATTCACCAGTATTAGTAATGAAATGGGAGATACCTCTACAGACGCTAAGGAAATTAAAAGAATTAAATGTACCATGAACATCTCTATACTTATAAGTTCTACAACAGGTTAAGTTGAAAATTTTTTGAAAGACACAAATTCCCAAAACTCATTCAGAAATAGATCACCTTAACTGTCCTATATCTATTAAAGAAATTGAACTTATATGTTAAATGCTTTCCAACAAAGAAAACTTGTACCATTAGCAAATTATATAAAACATTAAGGAAGAAGTAATATGAATTCCACACAAATTGTTTCAGAAGAAAGAAGAGGAAGAAACACTTCCCAACTTTTTTTTTAATGATCTCAGCATTATTCTAATACCAAAACTAGACAAGGATAAGAAGATAACCCAACAGACCAATACATCTCATGAACATGATAACAAAAATCCTCAATGGTACATTATCAAATGCAGCAACATATAAAAGAATAATACATCATGACCAAATGGGGCTTATCCCAGGAATGTAGGGCTGGTTGGAAATGCAATAATCCTATATAATAAAAGGCTAATATACAAATAGACCGAACGGCAGAACAATCGAACAACCAGTTGCTATGATGTGCGCTGACCACCAGGGGGCGCACATGGAACCTGGTGGGTGTTGGCTGCAGTGGGATGGTGGAGCAGGTGAGCGGGGGTGCCAGACCAAGGTGGGTCACCAGTTGCTGTCATCGGGCAAGCCTCTAGTGGTTACTGAAA